ACATTTCATCGCATGCTCCAAAAGCACCAGAACACTAAATACGGTTGGAGACCGAAGCTGGCTACATATATAGCAGCATTTTCAGTTCCTTGGTGATAGAACGGCAGCTTTAAAAAGATAGCCTCATCTGAACAGCAGCTCTGATGCCAAAGGTCCCCCCCCACCGAAGGACTTCAACTGCCAGCGAAGCTTCCTCCGGAGCAAAATGCAACAAAGCAGTCATGGCAACACCATGCAGTTTGGATTAGGAACACGAGATGCTCTCTCCAACAGCAACTTGGAGCCTTTTAGGTTAGATCACTACAAAGTGCAAACACGACACCAGAGCAAATCTGCTTCTTCAAAGACTCAGTTCAATACACAATATATTCCTCCAAAAGCTACGGAGAAAGTGTGGCCACAGGAGCCTGCTTACCCATTGTAAACCTCTCTGCCAGTCATTCAAAATTCTTGTTACTTATGACAATCATCTTCCTTCAAAAGAAATCTCTGCCCTGACTGACACCTTTCAATCAACTGAAGACTTGCCAACGAGAAGCACAGTTACTACGCCAAATCTTAACTCTGCTCCCATTCCTGATGGGTACAGCTGCCAGCCAGGGCACAGAGGTGCCTGTTAAAATTACCCCCCACGTAATGAAGAGTTCCCGTTGGCTGCACAGAAGCTGCAACTTTCACCCACGTAGGTGACGCTACTCCATCAGAAAGTGTTTCTGCTCTGAAAGGGGGTACGTAACAATATCCTGCATGTCCTGGTTGCAAAAAGGGGTCACATGAAGCTATCTGGCAATGCTGCATTTCACCTAAATGCAACGACAGATTGTCAAGCCAAAGTTAAGCCGTTTTGGACTGCTGCAGATAGTTATAGGAACCTGCTGTCTGTTCTCTCCCTGAGACCTCCTCAGCTTGCGCAGTAACCAGCTGAAACACTGGATGGAAAACGGGGGACGAATGCACATGAGAAGTGCAGCAGAAGGTGCCTCCTCCTCACCAGCTGCCACAACAGCAGAAAGACCAGCTGGGAACTGGCAGTGGAGAAATGGCCATCCTGGCTGACAGCCGAAAGTCTCTTGGGACCGGCCGGTGACAAACAATGAGGATCTAATCAAGACAGCGTTGCCTCATCTGTCAGCTCCAGGCCAGAAGGGATTATGTCCTGTTAGAGAAAATTTTTAACTCTGGGGTTCAGCATTTGACTCTCACAAGGAGTCTTGCGTTTCAACCAGAAGTGGCAGATTGCAAAAATGTTTCCTCAAACCGCGTCTCATTAGCTGCTTGCTTGGGGAGCAGGGTGCAATAGGAGCAACATCGCAGAAGCAGCTTGGAGTTGGATGCCCTCCATTAACAGCATTTCAGTTAGTTTGAACACAAGCATCAGCCAGATTTGAAAGCCAACCCACATCTGTCCTCCACCACAGTCCTTTTAAAGGAAGCCATTTAATACTTGGCTTGACTCCTTGTTAAAAACTCACACGGGCAAGAGCTGGCCAACAGCACAGTAAGAGCATTATAAGCTTCAAAGTAGCCCCATGGAAGTGGACCTAGAAACTCCTGAGAGAGGGAAGAGAGTTCTGCAAGAACGTGAAAATGAAGGAGACTCGGGTCTGACGACTTAGCTGAGACCAGTGATTTTCAACTTAGGGTGCTGGGAGATCCTTTTAAGGGTCCTGTCCATATCGGCACAGCTAGGTGTTTGCACACCTACACGTAATTAACAAGATAAACCCAGAGATTTCAAATGGGAGTCCTGTTCGAAACAAGCTGACCTGTTGTGGTCTTTCTGAATTCTCTGCAACACAAGAATGGCTCTGTATGCTTGCATTCAAAACATGAATGAAACCAAGAGGGGGCATTTTCCAAGGGGACCTTGAGTCTACGAGCTTGAGGACCACTGCCTTAGACTCTACACATATAGCGTATTACCCGCCAGAATCTTTTAAAATGACTACTGTTGAGAAATTTAGACCAGTAATCAATGCCGCCTGTATTATGTTAATAAGTTGCCTAGCTTAGAAAGAAACTAACTTGCATTTCCTCAAGAAAGTGCTGGCTTCAAGCTATACCCCAGCAAACCTTCAGTTTGCTGATCTATGTTCCAGTAAGACAAAGAGTGACTTAAAACCTAGCTTAGGTTCAAGGTGCCCCTGCCCAGACACACCAGACTGCAGTACCACCTCATTAAGGAGTCTAACGGCTTCAAAAAAATTGCTTATCTTACAATAAAAAAAAAAGAAGGAAAGAAATTCAAGGCGGCAAAGGCATTTGCTTGAGGGGTTTTTTTTTGCTTCCAATAGATAAGAGATGCTCTTATAAAAGCCAAATTCAGTAGCAAAGGCTTTTGGACAGATCAGCTTGCAACTGTGGGAAGAAATTGGGTCTGGGCCACACTTCCCAAAACTGCAGCCTGCCTGGGGAAATCCGGGGAGTAAGTTTTCAGCCTCTCAAACACAGATCCCCCCGCAATTTCAGATTCTCATGTCAATGGCCGCGTCCAGACAAGCGCAGCTGTGTGGTATGTGATGCCACAGACATGTCTGCAGGGTCACATAGTACGCATTCAGCTGTTCCCCACGCTGCAAGGGAGCAGCATGAGGATTTTTTTTACCTCTGCATATCCAGAGGTTAAAAAAAAAAAAAAAGAAAAAAAAAAGCAAAGCAGCACACAAAGGGGAGGCATGTGTTGCTCAAAACTAGAACCTGGCTGGCAGGAGGCATGCTCTGGCTGATGTGCTGCTGCAGTTGTCCCCTGGAAACCAAACGTCTACGCTCATCTGGACACGGCCAATGTTGCATAGCCAGACAAGCAGGTGAACTGATACCATCATCACAACAGCGGGTAGTGATAGCGAGCTCCTCGCCTTCTCAGATGCATCTTTTCTTTCCCCTTCACCCCCTAACAAGCCATTACCAGAGACTCCCTGCTGTGCTCAAGACAGTTCTCCAGCATTCATCCACACCCTCACAAATGCACCCCTTAGTAATTCTGCAGGAGGGGGCTTCTACCTTTTGTGATCGATAGCCTAGCTCTTTACGGTCTTCACATCAGTGCTGTATCTTCTCTTAGCCCTCTGCCCACCATGTCCCTGCTTCCTTGGGTGCTCTTGGTAGGAGACAAAACTGGGTTCAGCCACCCTTTAATGTTTCCTCACCGAACCATTAATTACAAAGGTATAAACCATTGCAAGTCGGTTGAAAATTCCTCCTCTCCAGAAGAACCCTAGAGTCACAGCAGAGGCAGACAAGACAAAGGCTACTCCCCATTTTTTAAATTTTCCCGAGATGGGAGTAAGGAATAGTCCAATGCTACCCAATATCTGTGCCACAATGCCTCCTACTCAGTGTTTCCTTGCTAGCTTGACTTGGGTGACCTTGCACACGCACACCCATCTCAGACTCAGTCCAGCTACATGAACTGAGATAGAAGCAAATATTTTTAGGGCAGGAGACAGAAGAGGGGATGAGTATGTATAAGCCACTGAAAACTACATCAGCATCTCCATAAACCCCTGCGCTTTCCACTTCAAAACTAATCCACCAGCTTTAGCAGCATTCCCCTCCAGATTGCCCAGTGAATGGGGCAACCTTCCCAGTACAGAGCTGCAGAGGGGGTAAGGATGATAGAAGGAGAAAAAAAAAAAAAAAAGTCAACTTATCAGTCACCTGGGTGGATTCCCTGGATTTTAGCAACAGGTTATTTACGCTTCACTTAGGCAATATTTATAGTCATTAAATAAATCCTGAGGATTCAGAAGGATGGTTACTGCTCTAACTTGTATTATTAACTCCCAGTCATCAACAAACAGCGTGCTAAGTGACTTGAAGTAGAATGCCAACTAGTTGGTATGTCTGCCTATCAAACTGTTCCGTGGACAGAGCATCACACACTCTTATACAAGTACTTCTGCCTTGTGGTTCTTCTTCATAGTAGCTAGGGTCAGGAGGGACCTGAACAGATCATCTCGCCTGACCCCCTGCCACAGGCAGGAATGAATGCTGGGTTCACAAGACCCCAGACAGGTGATCATCCAACCTCCTCTTGAATTTGCCCAAGGTAGGGACAAGGACCACTTCCCTGGGAAGTTGGTTCCAGATAGATTTTGGCCACCCTAACTGTAAAAAAATTGCCTCCTGATCTCTAACCTAAACCTACCCTCCATCAGCTTATTACCATTGTTCCTTGTCACCCCAGGTGGTGCTGGGGGGAAAAGGGCTCTACCCATTTGCTGTTCATCTCCCCTGATGAGTTTGTAGGCAGCCACCAGGTCCCCCCCTCAGCCTCCTTTTGCTGAGGCTGAACAGGTTCAGGTCCCTCAGTCCCTCCTCATAGGGCCTGTTCTCTCACCAAGCGGGTGGCCCTCCTCTGGACCCTCTCCAGGCAGGCCACATCCCTCTTGAAGTGCAGCGCCCAGTACTGGACGCAGTAGTCCAGCTGTGGCCTGACCAGTGCCGCACAGAGGGGGAGGATCACCTCTCTGGACCAGCTTGAGATGCATCTTTGGATGCATGACAAGGTACGGCTGGCCTTGCTGGCTGCAGTCTGGCATTGGCGGCTCATGTTCATCTTGGAGTCAGTAATGACTCCAAGATCCCTTTCCGCTTCTGTGCTCTCAAGAGGGGAGCTCCCCAGCTCGTATGTATGCTGTGGATTCCTGTTCCCAAGGTGCAGCACCCTGCATTTGTCTACATTGCACCCCAATTGTTTGCATCACAGAAATTTACTTTGCATGCTGGAAGCGTGAGAGAACTTTCCCCCTTACCTCCATCTGTTTTCTATTGATTTCTTTCCCATCACTGTACTTCTTGTAGTGCAATTCCTTTGTCCATTTAAGGACTCCTTGCTGTTACACTGCTACTGTGCGGTATGGCAACAGTCGGGCTCTCTGTTGACGCTATCCTCTCCAGACATTAATCTTGTTACATTCTTGATCCAAGTAATCACCACTTGTGCGGGGCTCCAACTTCGCCCCAATACCCACTATGAACAACAACAGAACTAAGAGCTTCCAACTGTGTTGAAAGCTTCAATGACTTGCGGACCAGCCACCAGGGTTAAAGATGTTTTATGCAGCGATTACAAAACCCCACGATATTAATCACTACATATTTTTCTTCTGAATAATGGTGTTATCTTGCAATCATGGCCTGTTTCTCATTTCCCTATTGTTGTTGCATTCTACACTCAAGGTAAGAAAAGTTAGAATTTGGAGAATGTTTTGCTGAACAATTAAGAAACATCTGTCCGTTAAGTTGGCAACACGCTAGTGATCTCGTTACCACGCGTCTAGCAGACTGTCAAACTAGACGTTGTGATGTGAGCACTTAGCCCGAAGATTTGGTACACCCGGCACATCTTCCTCTCCTCACTGAAGCTGAAACGGGATCAACTTGAGCCGCTGCTGGAAGATGTTTTCCTGCTGATGCCAACTATCTTCCATCCTCCTACAGCTGCACTATGTCATTAAGCTGGGCAGATAACATGTTAAAATTAGGGTCTGACTTACAGCCGTGGAGTGCCAAAAGCACTACGACAACTGGAAGGCATGAGCTCACAGGAGATGCAATTAAACCTACCATTAGAAAAGATCATCCTGTGTGTACTCAGTTGTGCAAGTCATGAGGACCAACTATGCTATTAATCTTTTGACGTTGTTAAGCTTTTCCTATAGGAGGCTCCTTTGTCCTCATTTTACTAGCATGATACAATTAAGCTTGCTGTTTTTCCTGAGCACGGTATGTGTAGCTCTTGCTAACATAAAGTCATTTTACACCCCCTTTCTTCCTCTTGAAAAAGAGACCTGTGACCAGATTCTTAATTTACTAAAGAATTCCCATAGGCTGCCTCATCACAGTCATTTTTAAAGACCAAAGGGAATCCAACAGAAAGAATATGCAAAACACTACTCCTTGGCATTAAGAACCTGTTTATGGATGGGGAATCAACAGAAGTGGAATATTTATCCTGACCTTAGCATTAAATATCAACATGTCCTTCCATCTGCATTAGAGACAAATGCCAAGATGCACTAAAATATCAGGACTCACTGAAAAGTAATTTGACACATCCATTATGAGGCTGTCGTTCAGTACACGAGGCAAACCTAATATAGCTTTAGTCATTTAGCTTGCGGGAGACTCCACTATGCATCTACATTTTCTAGCATATGCTACAGAACAGGAGATGAAGGGCACCCATTCTCCAAGGTAACCTAAATATGCTCACCACGGACATCTTTTTTGTCTGGAGTTCAAAACCATGCCACACCAAGCAGGTCTGGTTCATAGGATCATGGGGAAGTAGAGCTGAAAGGGATGTCACAAGGTCCTCTAGTCCAGTTCACACAATCAGAGGGTGCTTCTTTAATTTGAGGTTGCGGTAAGAAAGAAAAATCAAGAATTAGGCTTAGTCAGCTCTTAATCATGCCAGTCAGGTTGTGGGGGGTGGGGGGAAAAATAAAAATAAAAAAGTCAGTCCCCTCAACACAGCATACTCTGAAATCTCTCATGTCGACAGTTATGCAAGCCAAGAGTCTTCTTGTCAGTACAGCTTATCCTGTCCAAGAAATGAATCCATACCAGCAAGAAGACTCACGTCAGCAGAAACTGCGTCTCCACTGGGATGAGAGGCTGCCAGTAGAGCTTTCCCAGCAAACCCTTAGAGCAGAGGCAAGTCTCAGGCGTATCCACAACAGCCTGGTCTGAGCTTGGAGTCCTCCGATTCACCACTCTCAACAGACTCGTACCATGAGAAGGAAACTCCTTTAAGTTCATTACAGGCAGAAATTCTGCAGGGGTGCAAATAAAGAAAAGACATCGCTTTGGTCCCAGTTATTTCTGAAGATTTTCTATGAAATGTTTAGACTTCAGATTTACTGGTATTTCTAGGTTTTGTACATGTGGCTCCTCTGCAGGGTTTCTTTGCTTGTTTGCTTTCATGTTAGATGAATCTATTTGATGCATTAGTGCTCTTTTCCAGTAGTCACTGGTCTCTCTCACTTCTGTCTCAAGTTAAGTAAACTGGGGGGAAAAAAAGATAACTCAAGAGTGATGAAATGCAAAAGTAGTCTCATTCTTTCCCCTGCATAATCTGCTTCTCCCTCGCTAAGAAGCCCCTTAGAAACAAAGGAGCAAGAGAGCTTTGCAGAGATTACATAATTCCTTAATGTTGTGGGGGTGGTGTCTTTTTAAGGATAAGCTTATGCAACAATTTGGGGTTACTTGGGAGGAAAAAGAGAAAATATCCAAACTGCCATACTGGCAGCACAGACTGTAACCGTCACCAAGTACTACACCTTCCTAAAACATTATCAGACTGTTACAGCTCTCAAGAACACCAGGCACATCCCTTACTACAGATTTCTGCTGAATACACCAAAATGGTTGGAGCGAATAAATCGACTAGGTTTTAGCTCTGGAATCATTTCGTCTTATGATACCGTTAAACAAGGTGATTTCTACCAATTATCAAAGATCCCATTGGCTTTCATCAATGACCCCGGTGACCTAGCATTCCCTTTCTCAGCAGAAACAGGTTTAGCTTTCACGACTGCATAAGCCATTATTAAGTACATAATTCAGCCGTAAAGCCACAAAAATCCAAATAAGGTGCTTTGGGAGACCCTCAAACATGAGATAATTCTAAGATACGACTAATTTGTTTCTCCATTAAGTATCCATTTCTTTCCTCTGAAGAGAAATTAATGTTCCATTAATTAATGGAACATTTCGATTCCTGAGGCTGTTGGGAATCGGGCTGCTCCATTAATTAATTCTCCAGGCTACTCTGCTTTCATTAAGTCCTGGCTGCAGTCTGTAGCTAATGCAAGGCTGAGAAGACCCAGGTGGCTTTCAACTTCAGGGATGCTTCGATCTTCCTTAATGCTAGTCAGAAGCCTCTGCAGCTAGACTGGGAAACGGGAGCTGCCACAACCGTCTGGCAGGCCTAGGTGACAATCGATAAACCTACATGCCCCAGTTTCAAAGCACCTGTGATCTCTGGACTGGATATGAACTCCAGGAAGTGGCAATATTTTCATATCCCTTTATAGTCCTTGATATCAAAGTTCATCCCTATACAGTCTATATTAGCTGCAAATCCCCTCAGTTATTCATCTTACAATGAACTGAGAGCTGTGTAATCCTATATTTAAGCACTAACATCTCACTGTATTTGCCCAACTTCACCAAATTGCTCTTTTGCGACTAGAGGGAGCAAGGCAGCTTGTCAATCTGCAAATGAGGTTCTTAAATATTTCACCCTGACTTGTCTGTACTTTGATCATATCTGAAGTTGGTTAAAATGTACCGCAACAGTTTAGGCAACAACCTAAATTCAGCCCTTTAACATAAAGCGGTGGCAGGACTTTGCAATTGAAGGGCAGGTTTTGAGTGGGGACACCCTGAGCTCCGTTTCAGACAGCTACTTCCGTAACTGCCCAGGCTGTTTCACAGAAACACGTGCAACATTTGGAACCTGTAAATGAAGAGGTACAACATACAATCATAGAAGGCATCTGCAGGACCCAGTCTCTTCTGCTCAACTGCTCATATTTTCAGCTGGCAATTGAGAATTAAGAAAAAACGAACTTGAAGTCTCTGCTAGTCAGGGGCTCTGTATCACAAGACACATCTAGCCAGGGGGCAGGGTTCAAGTTAAACTTAGACTTTGAACTATGCGAGGTTTAGTTTTAAGCCTGCACAGAAAGCTCTTACAATATATACTGTAATAAACTAGAAATAGGGCCTAAATTTGGAATCAAAACTTATTTTTAAAGAAGTTTAACAGCACTGCCTTCCGAGCATGCGATACAAACATAAGACCTCTGAAGAACTTTTCGGCCGCAGAACTACTCAAAGCAGCTCCGAAGGAGATATTACTGCAATATTAACGGGACGTGACAAAAAGTTCATCTATCCCAGCAAGCTACCTTGCTAAGAGGAGAAATCAGAATTAGTCACGTCAGAGTGCAGAGCTGTCTAACCGCAGTGGGTACAGAGGGCTTGTTTTAGGTCAAAACTGCATCACCTAATGAAAGGTGTGAAGAAATGCTGTTGTTGCTAGTTTCATGAACAAAAGCATTAGTAACACGCCCACATTAAAGTCCTCTGAGCCCATAAGCAACGATCGCTCTTACCCTTCACCAAATGCAAGTGATGGTTTGTGTTTTAAGCAAGTTAAAGTAGCCTCTTATGGCAGATGGACATCAATGCAGCTGGATTTTTTTTTTTTTTTTTTAAAAACACACATGACCCGCAATGGTCACTTTCCTTTTGCAGTCTACTTTTGAAAAGCACATCTTCCCTCTGGACCACCACCATTGTATCAGCACAAAACAAAAGGTTATATTCTGTCTAGCATCGGTCAGCCTGAGGAAAGGTACTGCGATACCAAAAAGCTCGCCTATGTCTACCCCAGCTCTGCAGCTGGTCCAACAAGAGATATCACTTGCAAGAATTCTTGCTATTAGCAGCCTTAGCAATTTCAGAAGCATGCATCATGGAGATGAACAGATGAGCAAACATAAAACAGATGATTTAGAGCTCAGACTGGTATATTATGTGCCCGCGTAACCCTATAGTGAAGATGCCAGTTTGAAGTTTAATGGATTTTGAAACCAAGTGTGACAGGTCCAGACATTACAGCTACCAGGAGCTGCTCTGCCAGTTCTTGTGTTTCCATGCTCCCCTATAGCAGAGTAAAAAAAGGAAAAAAAAAAGAAAGCACTCTGCAGACAGGAAGCTGACTACACCCTAAGCAATGTTAGTGGTTAGGCTCAGTCCCCCCTGCGCTGACACATAGGAAGTCTGTGACTTTAGGAAAATTGTTTTGGTTTTTTTCTTCCTCTTTGCACCTCACTTGCCCATCTACATGAAGCAGCAGCATGTCCCTACCTCACAGGGACACACTGGGATAAAAAAAATGAAATGCTGGAAGGAATTCAGATGCTACCCACAACGGAGGATTTGATAGAGATGTAAAATTCATAATGGCTAAAGCAAGCATATCCAAGATGGTATTCAGGCTCACACATGAGATAAAAGCTGGTAGGTAACTGAGTCCTCAGGTGTCTGACCTACTAGTTAAGAAGTGACCAGCAAAAAAGAAACTTTAACTTGTGCTCATTTTTGTAATAGTTGCGTGTGTTTTATTCGGATTTTTTCCAAGCATATTAGAAAGGCCTTTCTGGTTTTTTCCCCCTTACACTGGACATTCAATATTCGTCTGTCCCTAAAGAACAGCAACAGTGGGTCAGGTGACAACACCAGAAATAGGAGGACAAGGCAATCTTCACCATCTTGGATTTGTATCTAGCTTTCACATTCATGTGTGAACACTCGAGTGTCCCTCTACTAGAGTGATTCTTAGCCACAGTATCAGGGCACCCTGGGGTGCCGTCAGATCCTTTGAAGGGTGCCTTGAGGTGCAAGGAGATGAGCAAAGTGCAAGGAGATAAGCAGATAAATTGGACAGAAAAACAGACTTACCACTGCTTAGACAATTCCCCATCCCCACTATCCACCCCCTCTACAAGGAGGTAAGCTCTGTAATATAGAAGTTAGTTTTTGAAATTTTTGTGCCACTCAATTCACAAAAGTTATGGAGAGGTGTCCCGAGTCTAATAAATTTGAGAACCACTGCTCTAACATCACCTAGGGAGACCGGAGTTCATGTTCTTGGTCTCTTAAAGCAGAAGATGAAAGCAAACACAAGCTATACAACTCTTCAGGTCTTCTTTATGTGCCAGACACCAACAAGAGGCAAAAACAAAGGCCTGGTTGCTTAAAAATCCTTTGTGGGTCACTTTTATACACGTTTTTATTGCTACTTAGGTGATGAAAATTGGAGATAAATTATCATCTAAAAAGATCTTACGATATCCGTGTAATGCAAGCGACTAAACCCTAGCGAGTCAGTGGCATGTCTTCAGCCAAGACGCCACTGGAGAAACGCTAGAAACATTAGCTAAAGGGCAACCGTCCGTGAAATCTCACGTTTACATTTTTGTGCTTGCTACCAATACCAGTATCTTGGATTAAGCATGTTCTTAAAAGATGCTTGCAATTTAGGATTTCTCCCCGCTTCTCCACTCTATTTACTTTTGACAGCGATCCACCTAGAATAATCCCTTTCACTTTCTGGCTCTCATGCACCAAAATGATGCATGGAGTACCCTGCAGAGACAGGTGTAAGTCTGAATACAACTTTTCATGTGGAATCTTAGAACTACATGATTTCTACTGATATCAGTCTTGTAAAGGCCTAATGTTCACCCTGAACTACCCAGGCATACCCATCTGAATAGCTGTGATATTAAAATATTTAAGTACGCACCGGGTGAAAGTATACTATTTCTAGAACACCATTTCACCCATTTTGTCAGAACATAAGTGACCAGAGTTAAGCACTTATGTTTCCTTCACCTGCTCAGTAAGAAAAATCCTGTCCGTCTCACTCTGCTAGGTAAGCTCTGGATGTAGCAGTCATCAACCGTGTATTTCACAGAGCCAGGAACAGATGGAGAAATAGTCTTGCTGTGTCCTATGCAATGACCTATTAGCAACTGAAGATCAGGTCAGTCCATGGGCTCATGTACATAACTCTTCCTCACGATTCAAAGACCGGGGCAGTTCCACTAAAGCAGTTTTCTCAGATGTCACAGCCTGGCAGTGGGTACAGTAGCTGTTCTCAAGCAAGCATATCTCTATTTTTACTTGGCTTTAATTTGGCAAGTATATCTTTTGTGATAAGGGTCACATGGCCTGCCCTGTCCTTCAGCTCATTTCCCAACCTCTCCCATTATTTGCTTCTTATTTCCTTTTCTCATTTGGCCCTTTCTCCACCACTGGCAACTCTGGTTCCAGTGTCAACTCTTATGAGTATCCATCCTCGGCAGTTGGTCCAACACTGGAACTAGTTAGGTTTGCTCTTAACAGACACGAAGACACTGATCGGTTTTAGAAGCAGCTGTAAGCACTGGCAGACAAGGTTCTTTACGTAAACCTGATATTTTTTTTAGATCAATCAAATAGCTAGAAAAATTCTTCTTTGCAAGCTTTCTTTGAAAGCCAGAGGTTGGCTTTCTTGCCTGCATACCAGCCTCAGGCTTCTTTACTATTCGTTCCATCCAGGAAGAGCGCACACCAACTGCAGATACTACTTCAGCCTGACAAAGGGTATTTGTACCAGAGAGCTTGCTAAGAATTTTTCCACCTATTTGAATTGGTCTAATAAAAGATATCAGATTTACCCAAAGAACCTTGTCTGCCCGTGTCTTTAGACCAACACAGCTACAAGGGATACCGCTGTAAGCACTGAGCATTTACAACTCAACTCTCAGTCTGCTCCCCAGTGTAGCTGACTATGGGCCATACCCAGTAGCTTTGGTCTTCTGGACTCCACTGGGAAAGCAGTTTGGGGAGAACCAGCACCAAAAATGAGATTTTCCTAAATTAGGTTCCCCGATGGAACTGTTTAATGAGATGTAGACTCATCTCCAGTGGTCATGACAATGCTCCCCACAGCATGAAGGATCAGCACCGTCACTGAAACAGCTTTTGTGCACTTGACCACACACTGTTGGTGTATCACTGATATCTCACATGCTACTTGAAGACCCAGGCTTACAAGCTTTCCATTGCTTAACATAGTCTCACACAGATTGTAACCCAAATACCCTATAACAGTTTAATATCATTTTAATCAGGGAGAAGAGTGTAGAGAGGCACCATCCAAGATGAAATTCTAGCTCTTCACAACTCACACTGATTGTTACTTAGCCTGTCTGCTTTGCAAACATTAGAGAACCTGTTCACAATAGCAGTTTGCTCTTATGTCACTGAGCAATTTCCCCTTCCCTGACTAAGCAGGTGTGTACCTCCTACTGATCATCCACCCTTGCTACACTTCAAGCAACCATGTACTTCCAGTAGCGTAATGATGCATGCAAGCATTTAGGACCCTTCAGGCGCCTTCTAATGCGGAAATGCAAGTGACAGAGCTGGCTCCTGAACACCAAGCAATTGTTTTAGCCTCGCTGGACTCTAATATGTCACACCATACCCACGTGCACCTTCAAAAGAGGATTTCAGAAGGGAACCCTGCCTCTCCTGGGGGCTAGAAAGCAGACCTTTAATGTTTCATAGCAGAGGAGAGAATCGAGTTGTGTCTGGAGCAGATAACCAGAGGAGTGCCGCCCTGCAACCTGGAAAGGGTCCCAAAACGGCCCTCAGAGTAGAGGCTGGCAGGCGGAAGGAGCAGGCCGTTGGTTTACAACGAGCACCGGGAGGTTCTTTTCCAACCGGAGCAGAAAGAAGAGACAGACCTGGCGGCAGAAGCTGAGTCCAGCCAGGTCTGCGCAGGGACAGGGCCACTTGCCGACAATGAGGGTGGGAAGGGAGCTCAGGAGGTCACATCTAGTCCAGCCCCTGCTCCAACCACATCATCCCAAGTCAAGTCTACCTGGATCTTAAACACCTCCAAGCACCTCCCTGGATAACCTGTTCCAGTGCTTTACTACCTTCTTGGTGAGAAAGTTTTCCTTAATATCCAACCTCAACAGAAGGCTTTTGACACCGTCTCTCACCCCGTTCTCATTAAGAAACTGGGGGGCTGTGGTATAGACTCCCACACAGCCAAATGGGTCGCCAGCTGGCTGGAGGGCCGCACCCAGAGGGTGGTAGTGGATGGGTCCTTCTCAACCTGGAAGGACGTGGGCAGTGGGGTTCCGCAGGGCTCGGTCCTCGGGCCCGCGCTGTTCAACATCTTCATCAGTGATTTGGACGAGGGGGTAAAAAGCACCCTGTTCAAATTTGCTGATGACACTAAGATGTGGGGGGACGTGGGCACACTAGAAGGAAGCAACAGGCTACAATCAGACCTAGACAGGTTACAAGGGTGGGCGGATGAGAATAGGATGGGTTTCAACACAGACAAGTGCAAGGTGATGCACCTGGGGAGGAACAACCGGCACCATACCTACAGGTTGGGGAACTCCCCTCTTGTCAGCACGGAGGCGGAAAAGGATCTTGGAGTCATCATTGACTCCAAGATGAACATGGGCCGGCAGTGTGGGGAGGCAGTTAGGAAGGCCAACCGCACCTTGTCATGCATCCACAGATGCATCTTGAGCAGGTCCAAAGAGGTGATCCTCCCCCTCTATGCGGCACTGGTCAGGCCGCAGTTGGAGTACTGCGTCCAGTTCTGGGCGCCACACTTCAAGAGGGATGTGGACAGCATGGAGAGGGTCCAGAGGAGGGCCACTCGCATGATCAGGGGACAGCAGGGCAGGCCCTATGAGGAGAGGCTACGGGACCTGAACCTGTTCAGCCTCCACAAGAGAAGGCTGGGGGGGGGATCTTGTGGCCTGTTATAAACTAGTCAGGGGGGAATCAGCAGGCGTTGGGGGAGTCACTGTTCCCCCGAGCACCGCCAGGAGTGACCAGGAATAACGGTCACAAGCTGGCAGAGGGTAGGTTTAGGGTAAATATCAGGAGGCACTACTTCACGGTCAGGGTGGCTAGGGTCTGGAACCAACTTCCAAGAGAAGTGGTGCAGGCTCCTACCCTGGGGGTTTTTAAGAGGAGGTTAGATGAACACCTTGCTGGGGTCGTTTGACCCCAGTACTCTTTCCTGCCATGGCAGGGGGTCGGACTAGATGATCTGCTCAGGTCCCTTCCGACCCTAGACACTATGAAACTTTCCTTGATGCAGCTTGTGCCCATTGCTGCTTGTTCTGTTGTCTGCCCCCACTGAGAACAGCCCAGCTCTATCCTCTTCGAAGAGAGTTTTGTAGACAAGAGGGGCTGGAAGGGTTCAGCCCCCCACCCCACTTGGGAAGACTGAGGGGGTGGGTAACAGCCTACTGCCCATCTGCAAACTAAGCCAGCCCATTTCCCTCAGCCTCTCCTCCCAGTGCTGTCCCCCAGGCCTGAACCATTTTCCTTGCCCTCCACTAGACTCTCTCCAACTCGCCCGCATCCCTTCTGTGGGGGGGGGGGGGGGGGGGGGGGGACC